GTCGACTCTGAGGATCCCCGACAACAAATGCGCTGTTGCGGCGGTTGTGCGGGACGTGGTCGTCGGGTGGGTACACGACAGACAGCGAGTCCAACTTCATGCCCGGTGCGTCCCGAGGTCAGCGCGTCAAGTAGCACAGGCGGTCAGCAGCAGCAGATGCGTCGACACACAGGAGCTGAGCGTGTGGCGACTCCAACGACGCTGGACTTGGAGAGTGAGGGGCGAACTGGCAGGCTGGACTTGACCGCAGCGTGCATAGTATCACGGGCAGCCACGCGCCGTAAACGATGGGTACGGCCAGCACATGTGTACCACCGTCGTTCGAGGCGTGGAAACCGGAAGAACGGAGCGTGGTCAGCCAGGGACACTGGGATCGAGCTTGCAAAATCGGAAATGAGCTCCGATGCGAGAAGGTCATTTTGATTCGGAGCAAGCCGAGCAAGCCGACCAAACAACAGTGGATCGATTTGAACTAATTCCACCAATCACGCTTCTTGTTGAACTTTGGCAGCCAATCACTGTCATCGAATTTTCGGAGAAAGGTTTTGATTGGTCAAAGCGAAGACATGAAAAAAAATGTCAGCGCGGGAAAGCTCGAAAAGATGAACCAAAGCAAAATGGGCACCAAAAAGGCGAGCCTTTACATGTTGTGTAAACCACTTCAAATACCAATAGCCTATTTATGTGACATTATGTATCGCGACCGCTCTACCCGTTCTCCCTCGCCGAAACGCCCTACCATCGGCATTCCCCCAATCATGGTCGCGATGGACCTGGTCGGAAGCGTCTCCGCCGTCGGCGACACGGATGCGATGGTGGCGGGGGACTCGGGCAGCAAGCACAACGGCGGCCGCAGCGCCGCCGTGTGTGCCGTCAACAGCATGGTCTCGGAGGCTTCCGCGGCGACCGTGGCCGTGTTGGACGTGATCGGGGGCGTCTCCGCTGGCATGGTCACGAACGTGACGGTGGCATTCGGCGCGGTCGATGAGGCTAATAGGGGTGCTTTCGTGTTGGCTGGGCAGCGCCACGAGAGCGTTTATAGCAGCGGCATCGATAGCCGGGCTTAGTTGCCTTGCTGGCGGTAGGAGCGTCTTGAACCTGGTGTTGAGTACATTGATGGGGATGGGACCTTTGTGAAAGGTCGGTAGGTTATTAGGCGAAGAAGTATGAGACCAAATATCTTATGGTATGTATGGCAGTATAGATTTCTAGATCTCGTGGCAACCCGATGGCAGACTTCTCGGACGAAGAGGACTTGCTGCTTTATCGGCTGGCAAAGGAGCAGGTTGATGCAGGCCGCCGAATTAACTGGCGGACTGTCTGGTTGGGGATGCCATACTGCGGGAAGACACAGCGACAGCTGCAGATTCGTCTAAAGACGCTGAAGAGGACACACGGCGTGAGCTTAGATTCTTTCCCAAGGAGATTTCGGGATCAAAAATCGGCACGGACGCGCTTAGTGGTGGCCACAAGTTGAGCGCTCCCGATAATGTTGGCAACGTTCATGACGCTGTGTCAAGTTTGTATGCCTCGGCCTTGCGTCAACCCGTCCATGCGCCGGATTGTCATGCTGGTGAGATTTCGCCAACTGGGGTTTCAGCAATACTGGCAGTCATTCCAACGCTTACAATCGCCGAAATTTTTGTTGACTTTGGATCTGGGATCGGCAACGTGGTTGCACAAGTGGCATTGGAGACTTGTGTTGGGAGATGCATCGGGATTGAGTTCCAGGACAACTTGGCAAACATGTCAAAACTGCTGATTCGTGGCGCACGCGTGGATTTCCCGAATTTATCCAAGGTCACGATTCACGAGGCCGACCTCAGAGCGATGAGCCCAGCCGTACGCGAGGATATTGACGGGGGCAGTGTTTTATTTGCGAACAATATCGTTTTCGAGCCTACAAGTTTTGCGGCGCTGGAGGACTTTGCATCTTCAGCAGCAGGTTTGGTCCACGTCGTTGTCATGGCAACAATTTGCGGCCGGCACCGCCCAACCTGCCCGCGCAACTTCTGCTCTGTCTGGACGCTCCGACAGCGTATCGACGTTCAAGTGTCTTGGTCTTCCCAGCTTCATCACGCATACTGGTACACCAGGGTTGTAGAGCCCTACATCTAAGTACCTCGCGCAGAATGGAAAGGGACATTCAATATACTTCG